CAGCACCGGGCACGGCTCCGGGAGCAGGGTGCCGGCACTGGCCTGGGTACGATGGCAGCGTTGGCCCCTCGGTGACTCAAACCCTTCCCGCTTTAGATGTACGACCGGGCAATCAGCGCTCCCAGCAGCCCCACTCGCTTGGGCCAGTCGGGAAAGAGAAGCTGGGAAGAGCCAAACTGGCTGGGCTCCTCCTCACGCCTGCTGACCCAGGACATGAAGAGCAGCCTCAGCCGCTCCCTGCAGACCCTTCCCACTGAACCTTCAGCTGCAGACGCTGGTAAGAGGCATGGTCATCCTCCTGCATCAGTCATCCAGGCCTATAAACCCTGCATTTGTTTAATGGAGTGCCGAAGAAGGAAATACCCTGTCTGGCCCAGGATTTTTATGTTTTTCTTTTAAGCAGGTGCACTGGTAACTTCAAGAATCAGAACTGCCATTGGGAACAAATCAGTAATGATCATCTATTTGCACTCTTCATTCCTCTCATGACTGCATGGTGTTAAGCTTTATTCTCCCTAATTTTTGCTCTTTTAATCTGAATATGTAATCTTTCCTGATAGAAAGCTATTCCATTCAAGCACTCTGCTGCTTTTCTTTGGAACATTCCAGTTTGCTTGCATCTTTTTAAGGAGGGAGTATTCAAGCTGTGAATGTACTAGCAGTTAATAACGGTGTTTCCTGTATTATTGCTACCATTTTCCAAATAATTTCTGGATCGACATTTCCCTGTTTAGTGCTGCTTATCACTGTGTTTTTCTTCAGTAGCCTATAGGAAATGTCCTGTAGTTTTCTTTCTGGGTGGGATAATCAGTAATTTAGAATCCAGCCATGTTTTGTTACATGTGGTTGGTTCTTTGTTCTCAGTGGTTTTACTTTCTATCCCAGATCACTCATTTCAGGAGATTTATACTTGGAGATTTAAACTAAAAATCAGAATCGAGCTATTAACTTGATTTCCAGATTATTTTAAAGGAAGTTGTCTTTGGAATGGCAATAGTTTTTTCTGCTGAGGAAACATTAAAAACTAGACAGCTGTGTTAAATGGGGTCTAGACATTTTGATTGGGGTCCCCAAGCATATGGGCTGAGTAATAAAAACATTGATGATGGTGTCTTAAATTCTTCAATTAGAAATAAATTAAAACTCAGTATGGAAATTTTTTTTTTCATAAATAGGCAAGGAAATACAGTCCCTATGGTTTAGTGCATTATTTTCTTTACATGAAAAAAGCCTAAATCTGTCCAACAGAATCCAGTGGGACAAGAGACAGCAGCTGCTGAGGCTGGGATAGATGGCTTTGTGTACAGCTTGGTCAGCCATTCCTCATGTGTTGTGTGGCCAAATCATCAAACAAAAATTGGCAACAGCCAATTGCTTTAATGGGCCCACTGACTTGGGGATTTCTCCTGTGCCCCTTAGGTATCACAGCCCTTCCAAAGTTCTCTTAGATCTGAAATTCCCCTTTAATTATCATTGTTAATGTCTGAAACTCTTTGTCCATGTTAAGAGAAATGTGAAATGGATGGGAAGCAGTCAGAAAAGAAGGGACTCAGAGAATCTGTGCAGGTCGGATATTGTTTAGTAATGCAGATACAATGTAAACCTTGTGTTGCTGCATTGTGTCTCTGAGTGGGCTCGCTGGTCTTTTTGCAGTGAAGGTTTCAGTGGGGTATCACTGGAGCTATGATGGCTTGAGCTGGGATGGTCCCAGGATCTGTCAGCTCATCATCCTAATAACTGCTGATCAGGCTTCCAACAACTGTTTCATTTCCAGGTGGCACAGTCTTCTCTGATATGCTAGTCAGGATTGGGTTTCGCTGGTAATTTGTAATAATCTGTTTCAGTGGTAAAAACTCAAAGAGATCATGGTGATTGTTCAAAAGTGTTTTATTCACTGATCTGGCGTCGCACTGAAAGCTTTTGAAATGGTAACAACACTGATTTTTTGATGAAATTGAGCTGAGATATTGCCCGTGTAGCCATTAAAATTACATCCTTGTACACAATATTATTCTGGCTAAATTTCAAATCTAGTAACTTGTTTTCATGCATTTTGATGCTCTTACTAGTATGTTTTGAAGTTCCTTAGCACGCCCCTTTGGAGCGGTAGCTGCATAAAGCCTGCAAAATGTCCGCCAAGGCTCTTTGAGACCTGGGAGGCCGCAGTTCCGCGCTGCAGATTCTGTTCTGTGCATTGCTTCGCAGCAGAATCAGCTGCAACCTCAACAGTTCTCCTTCTGTCTTGCAGACTGCTTTCGACCCACCAAGGCCAAGCCATCTGCCAAGAGGAGTCAGGTGGAGCTGAAGAAGTCCCGCCTTCGGCTGTCGCTGCAGGAGAAGCTGCTGGCGTACTACCGGCGGCGGGTGGCGNGACCGGGACTTCTACCTGGCCTCCATCCGCCGCGAGTTCCGCCGGAACCAGGGGCTGCAGCGGCTGGAGGACAAGGAAAGGCAGCTGGAGAAGGGGCAGGCTTTCCTGCGGAGCAGCCTTGGGGGCCTGGTTTAGCCATTCCCTCTAGCTCCCACCGGTCCCACGTACCTCCCTCTTCTTTCCAAGATCCCCTCGCCCGCCAGAAGAGATGATTAACACTCACTACCCACCACTTTCTTGAAGAAGTCCTGAAGGTGCTTCCACAGGCACACCAGGAGGGCTCTCCTGTTCTCTTCACAAATGCATTAGGTCACAGGTAGGTCGTTTACAATGATATAACCGTGCTCTTCATGCTGCTGTTACAGTGAGCTTTGCAAAAGTGTGGGGTTTGTTCTGCTTGGGGATGACAAGTGAATGTATTCTTGGTTCATCCAGGCATGAACATTCCCGCTGGCTTGGCTTTAGAAAAAACACAGGGCAGTTTTCAACCACCCCAGGCAGGCAGGCAGGCTCAGAGCCTTGGACACTGACGCAGAAAACAGCCCTAAAGTCACAGTGCAGAAGTTTCTTGGGGTTTTCATGTAGGTTCACTGGGGATCTCCCTATGGCTACAGTGATGGTAATATGTCTTTTACAGGATCACAGAGTCATTGAGGTTGGAATAGGCCTCTGAGCTCATTGTGTCCTATCTTTGACTGATATCCACCTTGTGACTAGAAGGCACTGCCTTTCACAGCCAAGTTAAACACCCCCAGGGATGGTGACTCCATCACCTCACTGGGCAGCCCATTCCAATGTCTAATCACCCATTCTGTGAGGAAATTCCTCCTGATGTCCAGCTTGAGCCATCACTGGCATAGCTTGAGGCCATGTTGGCCTGAGAGACTCTTTAAATTTAAATCTGAAGGTCACATTTAATGGCAATTTGAGGACACAAAAGTATACATGTAAGAAAATATTCATGTCAGTGTTTGACATGATTTATCTGATAGTTAAATCCACCAGCTTCCAGGGCAGGATAAACATCAAATGAAGGCAAGGGAGCTGTTCCTTTTATGATGTGTTGTGGTCTCTGCTGCTGATTCTTGGGTGTCTTTGAAGTATCTGGGATGGGACACTGTTCAGAAATTAATCTGTGAATGGGAGCTCTGAGACTGTCACTTCTTGGGGAAGATTCCATTCTGTGCCAGACAGTTGACCAACCCTGTATTGCCTTGTCTGTAAGCAAAATCACACTTGTTACATTAGAAATTACAAAACAAATTGGATGTGCTTTGATTGGGAAGCACAAATCATAAGAAAAATACCAGAAAAGTTAGAGGGTTTTGCTTAATATGCAGGATTTTATTGCAAAACACTGTGGAAGTAAATTTTGCTTTCTTTCATTAAACCTATTCAATTATTAGAAACCTCACCTCAGATTTGGATGTGTTCCCTGAGGCACTGGACGTTGCTTGGTCAGTACTGTCCTGGCACTGCTGGGAACAAGCAGCAATTTGAGGGAACATAAATGGAGAGGGCGCAGGGCTGGGTGGTCCCTTCCTGTGGTAAAGCCTGCGGCAGCAGTGCGTGGGAGGAGGGGCTGAACCACCATTTTGTGCCACTGTGTGCCTCCTGTCCCTCACAGGTGAGATGGCAGGCGCTGGGCAGCGCAGGGGGAAGAAGGATGACAACGGCATCGGCACCGCCATCGACTTCGTGCTGGCCAACGCGCGGCTGGTGCTG